AACCATCTTCATTGACAACCATATTACTGCTATGGAGTCTGCAGGACATCTAAGCAAGACAATAGTGCAAAATAAGTATAAATTTACATATATAGAGGTCAACATATCAGGCAAAATATAGTCTTCATTGACATAACATAATATTTGCCATTATGGTCATCACCACAGGGTCCACAACTATATTCATTGCCAGCTACGCTACCTGTGCGGAGGCTACTGACTTTAATGTTAGACAGCCGCTCGGCTCCACCATAAGAACAGTGACCCTATACCATCACCACTGACAGGATGGCACTACACCAACAGTCAACTTGTTTTGTTTTGTTTTTATTTGGTACACTGATCGTCAATAAGTGTATAACACATGCACTTTTACAATAAAACAGAAGGCAGTGAGAAACAATTGAAAGCATGGGTACTCTGAAAAAAAAATAACCCAATGTTGCCTTTTTCAAATCTCAACTTCAGCACCATCCAGATATGACTATATGACTGTACTAAGAACCATCCAGATATGACTATACTAAGATTATTGAAAGAGTGACTTGCCGTGAAAAGGCAGAGACGTTGGAGTGGTGTAGAGTATGCCGTTGGTTAGTCCGTACATCTTTTGAGCAACTGGGATAGGATCCTCTCAAAGAAAGTTCTAAGTATGGAGCAACACTGCCGAACATCCAGCAATGTCTGTTGGGTGGTATTCAAAATTTGCTGATCAAGTCAATGGCTTCACTTGAGGGCTCAACAAGTTCATCAGTGCACGGTCATTCTCACCAATGATATTTCTGTAGTCTCCATAACTTTCTAGACACACACCTGCATTTTTATTCAATGTATGGTCTTCTCCCGATCTGAGTCCAGTTGTACTATAACGTTCATTGCATGAAGCAACATCTGATCCAGACACACTTGATTTTCCTGTAAAAAATCGTGTTCTCAGATGCCCGAGCTGATAAATGGTAGACTAATGATTAGTGCAATACTAGCACCGGAAGGAAAAGAAAAGATGTGACACACCTCCTGTTTCATTATTAGACATAAGCAATTTCTCAACTAATTCTCCACATGCTTCATGCCTTGCTATATTGCTTTCATCAGATGATGCTCTTTCAAAATTTATCTGTGACAAACCCTGCATATTTTCCACGTATGCATCCTCAGCTTCCAAGTAAAGCATTGTACAAGAGCTCTGCACAAGAGGTGACAACATGCAATCTTTGTAAAACTTCATGAAGCCAACCTAATCTGAGAAAAAATTTACTCGATATATTAGTGGCTCCATATACACCACAACATTGATCTGGGAATGTAAAGAGAAAAGAAAACTAAATTCCTTCATGGTCAATTGTGCAATCCAAGTCCAGAATAGATTAAATCATTCTGCACTAAACGACTCAAAAACAGATACTAAAAGGTAGTTACTTCCTTTGTTTCACTGCATTAACAATAGACGTACACCAAAGATCTTAAACACTCGCTAGCAGAAAATTTCCATGCAAAAACCCCAAAAAAAACAGCATTCCTAGCATCAATAGATTCAAAACGATATACGGCAGAGAAATTGTACATTTGTACTACTTTACTTAGGTCTACAAGATGAATCAATACTCACTTCAGCATCACTTCCTTTCTGACTGCATTCATTTATTTTCTTGGTAGAAGTCAGACAATCACTCGAATGATTGCTTGAAGCATTGTTTTCAGAGACGGCTTCAACTTCGCGTTTTGCAGCTGTTCTATTGTGAGGAACATGCCCAGCAGTTTGCTATTCAAATCAAGGTTCCATTTTGAATCATATAAACAGAACCAAAACACAGTACGAAAAGGAAAAGATAAGTGCGAAAATGGAGCATACCATTTGTCTTCTCCAAACATGCTGCCATAGGTTCTTCAGCTCATTCCTCCTCACAGGCTTAATGAGAAAGTCAGCAGCGCCTTTTAACATGCATTTCAAGACCACACTAATTGAATCATGAGACGACATCACTGCATTATCACAAGTATTTAAGAGTTGTGTAAGCCCACACTCAAGTAATGTCAAATATCGAACTGATGAAACAGAAAAACAGTAAATATTTGGTCATGACAGCATACTGATAACTGGAATATTTTTGCAAATGTCATGCTCCATAATTAAGGTGAGAAGCGCATATCCAGAGATCGATGGCAACTCCACTTCCGTCAATATGAGGTCTATCTTGTCAGTTCCCCCTTTTAATGTCTCCCATGCCTTTAAACCATCAGGGACAGCAGCAACTGCTCAAGCAAACATAGTACTTTTGATTAGTTCCAGAAGCCCAAGCCCTCACAAGTTCAAGATGTCATAAACCATGTGATAACTTGTATTCATATGCTGAACAAAATAAACATAAGAAACAAATGGGTGTTGACAACAGGACTTGTGCATTGAAAAATTGCAAGGGTAAAATGGTTCTCCAACAGGAATAAGAAAATTCTATCACAATAAAGCACATTTAAGTTTTCAAATTGATCCACCTTGTTGATTGGAGGATTGAATCAAGGTAGCAATGACAGTGAAGAAACCATTTGAAAAATGTAAAATAAAATGAAATCTTGTATATGGTATTTGACAAACATTCACATGGAAACACAACATCATTAGAGTCTGGAGTTATACCATCCATAACACTAGTTGGGATAAGCACACACAAGAGGGACATTTGAAGCAGACAGATATCTCTATTGGTCAAGCATGGCTATGTTCAACCAAAATTAACGAAACTTATTGAAAATTAAATCCAAACTACAAAATATATAGCAGTATAATCACTCAGGTGAGCTGTTCATGACTTAATATGTGCAAGGTCACTGTGCTGTTACATGAATCATACTCTATCAAGACCAACTCCGTACCCAGTCAAACAGAACAAGTATCATAATTTTCACACGTTTAATCCCCCAATGAATGAGAATGACCCTCAGATGCTCTTGCTGTCTATGACATGAGAACAATCAGGGACAATGCTGAAGTTGGTCATAATTATTGAAACTCTTGAGCAACTTTATCATTGATCATCAGACCATGTATGTTAAGAAAACTGAAATGTAAAGAAAATTACGAAAACTAAAATAAGAAGAGGAACAGTCCACAAGGCTACTAGGAGTCGAAAGTCAAACGCTCCCTATTAGCCAGCCAACCTAAACAAGATTGATTTTTCATTTGTAACCCAATTGCAAGCACAAAAACAAATCTTCTTGATAAAAAGAAAGAAGCACAAAAAAAAAATTAAGAGGAGGAAAGCACCTGTGTAATTGCATTTACGAAGCAAAGCAGCAATGATCTGACGAGTGGAGTCGTCTGCTTCTACCAGCAGAACTCTAAGAAGCATCCGAGGAAGATTAAGATAACTCTCCCGCTTACTCATATCCGATAACGAGCTTTCTTTCTTGTTCGTCTTCTTTTTCTCCTCATTTTCCTTCTTCAGTTCCACGTCCATCCTTTCTTCTTCGCCGCTCGACACTATTTTCACTTATTTTCCACATCCAAGAAGCACAACGTTCCAACAATAAGCAAACCGAAAACAAAACAAAACAAAACAAAAGCCCTAATTTGTGGTCAGCCACAAGTTGAAACAGTAGTACGTAGGAACGAAGTAGGTCCAGCAAAATCCATTTCTCCTTCGTTGTCTGTCAGCAATAATTTTTGGACAAAACCAAAAAAGTAAACTATCTACAAAGTGGAAAGCCGCTAAACTACTTAATGGATCATAATCGATCCACACAGTCTTCCTTCCTTCCTATGACGATGGACAGACTCTCTCGCTCTCTCCCTCTCTCTCTCTCTTGTCTCTGTGTGTGTGTCTATGTATGAGTAATAAATCTGGTGCAAAAGTCCCGTCGCTAGTCGAACGATGTCTTACAAGGAGCTTATCAAAAGGTGGGTAGCCATTGGCTTTTGGTTGATGAAGATGAGCTGGTGCATTTCTCGTCACCCATTTTGATTTTGATTTTGATTTTAGCCGGTTGTAATGTGTGGGTCCGGCGGGAACATATTGTGGTCATTGATCGTCCTCCAGAGCGTGGGTGGACCCCACAGAGGGAGGTGGGAACGTAGTAGAATTATTAGAGAGAGAGAGAGGGGTAGATATTTTTTTTCTGAGTGTTGCCACGTCCATTTTTTGTCCAGTGGTCAGAAGTTTGACACGTGGGATGCTGATTGTGATTCAATTTTCTTCCCTTGTCAAACGAAAAAATATTGGAATTATTTATCTGTTTTTGTATGAAAAAAAAAAAAAATAATAATAATAATAATAATAATAACCAACCAAACTGGATGATAATCTTCTTTACTCATCAAACCAGCAAATAAGAATTTATTATATGGATTGGATGGGAGGATAATCTTCTTCACTGGATGATGATGCAGTTGGTAGCTTCTTCCGACTATGTGTGCTAGCCAGCCAGCTGTTCAAATTAATTGGAATAACTGCTGAAATGTAAGCCCAGCCCAGCCCAGCCCACAAGCACATATGGTTTTGTTCCAATCTGCAGTCCAGTAACACTTGATCAATCAAGACAGTAGTACTTGGAACATAAATTTGTAAACAGAAATCCTGGTAGGTAAAACAAACAAGGACGAGGCATCTGCATTTCTAAGAAATAAATACTAGTCCCCCCGGCCCAGGCCCAGGCCCCTTTGGGGTTGCCATTTCAAACATACTATAGTCCAAACAACCAAGTTACAGTTACAATCAAAAGACAAATATGACCAAAGTTGAAATTAAAAAACGCACCTAGGCATGCACAAACAACATTAAAAATACATCTGATAGTAAAACTAGAGCTTGCCATCAGCAATTATATTATAATCTATACTATTTTTAAAAGTCCCAATGCATGAAAGCCTTTTTTCACTTTTATTCCCTGAAAACTACTATTATATCATCTTTATCCCTAAACTAGTGCAAAATCCGTTACTTTTCACCCATTAAATCTCTCTCTCTCTCTCTCTCTATCTTTTTGTATTCTTTAGCCGCTAGCCTTTCTCTCCCTCCCCCCGGGGGCGCTTGCATATTCACAAATTGGCCGAGAATTAAAGTTAATGATCATCTCTACCCAATTGCTTCCCATTCTGCGTCGTTATTGTCTCTCTGTCTCCCTATTTTTGAGTTGTTACTTTTTTTTTCTCTCTCTCTCTCTCTCCTGCATATTAACAAATTGACAAAGAAAAAATCATCCGTCTGTCTCTCCTCCGTAATCACACAGAAACCTAAAAAATCAAATAGGGCTTCATATTTGAAGGCTTTTGTTTGTGGGATTGTCCTTAATTTATCCAGTTTATTGTTTTTTTTAGACAATGGAGGTATTGTCACTGCACGAATTTGGGTATTGGATCATATGATGGTTCTTTTTTGACACATGGATTAATGGTTCTTGCTTTATATCATCTGTTTCAAGGGTTTTGATTCCTAGGTCTAGCTTAATTTACAAGCTTTGTTGTTGATTTTTCATTTTTGATACTTCAGGTTGAAGAATTTAATTAGTGGATACTGTCTAATTTGGTGTTATGTGGTTTTGTGGGTTATATGTGCAGGAGAGATTAAGCTTGTACGAAGAAAAGCTGCAACGGTGTATAAATTGGTGTAAATGTATGTTCTTATAACAAATTCCCTCTATTGCCCAAGTTTCTATTTCCATTCTGTTTTCTTCCCCAAAGAGCATTTCACATTTGTAATGTACTTACTACAAAGCAGAATAATAATAATATTATATAAGTTGAGAGACCGACAAAATCAAACCTCAAAAGTGTGCTTGTAATGACGACGTTTCATGAGTTGTTTCGCAATATTCTGAAGCTCGGAAATTGAGAATTTGCGGCCTTCGTTGACCCAATTCTGAAGCACAATAGTCTCGCTTCGTCGTGGGAATATAAGCCTTAATAATCTGTTCTTGAGGCCATTATTTTGGTACTTATTGAATGGTGTCGTTTCTTCGGCATTGATGAGACAATCCTCCAAAAGCTTGCATTACAGAAGGTTTCAATGCTGTAATTTTTTCCAGTTCCTGTAGGCAGTATCAGCAGAAAAAGCTTACCTCCCATGTAAAAAGAAGGCTAACTTTTGCCCTTTCCTTCCCAGTATTCACTAACTATAAAAAAAACAAGCAACAATTGCGTAAGCAAAGCACAAAATAAAAATCTGCTCAATAACTCTAGCACCAAATAACAAAAGCATATGCTTCAATTAACCGTTTTTTTCTTCAATACATTAAAACAGAGGACAAAACTTTAGAATTCATCAATAGTTGATCAAAAAATTATTACTAACAAATGCTTTTCTTACTAAAATGAAGCTCTTCAGGTCATTAGCTTACAGTATCTCTGATGATCTACAACAAGCGAGGAGAATCATTGATATTTTGTTGGGTTCCAAACTTAACATGTGACAAGAGAATAAAATATAGAAGTAAAATTTGCATAATGTATAAACAAAAACAGTGGTAGGAAGGTTGCTTTCTTGATAGTTATGAGGTAAAAATGGTGATATTTGTCGACAAAATACTTTTAGCTCTAGATCTGGTTCACCTGGAGTTCAGAAAAATATTGTCATCAGAACATTCTCTGAGATGAATACCTTTTTGTTTCGACAAAAGGATATGTAACATGATCAGTGGAATGCTCTTGATAGTTATGAGGAAATAGTGCATGATCAGTGGAATGCTGGCCATTCAAATTCCAGCCCCGTGATGATATACCCTGATCGCCAGATTTTCTGTGAGATAAAGACCAAATAAAGGTAATAACATCAATGTTTTTTACTTACGGAAAAAAAAAAATCAATGCTTTTAACTCCAAAAAAACATTATTTGAAGCATGCTTGGAATTTAGGGGTAAATACATAACTGAGAGTATTTATGTAGACACGCACACACACACACATATATATAGATATATGGATAAGTACCTTCTGAGATTGGGGAAGATCGAGCGGAGCTCCATAGTAGCTCTTTGGTGGGTGTTCCCCAAACCAGTTCTATTTAAAGAAATTAATTGATGGGTATTGCCAAATTTTGAGTTATGTGATTTTTTGGGTTATGTGTAAGAGAGATTAAGCTTGTATGAATAAAAATTCCAACGGTGCATAAATTTGAGTAAAGGTGTGTTTCACAGTTCATCACTTTTCTTTTTTTTTTCCAGACTAAATAAATTTTTTAAAAGTATCATTGTCACTTGATAGAATGTGGGCAATTAAGATGTGAATCGATTGGTGAGAAAATGTAGTTAACAAAAACAAAAGGGTTAGAGGGGATATGTGAAATGTAGGACACTGTCGTGTGTTGGAATTATCTTTTATATGCGAATTTATTTTTCCTCCATTTAGGCTTGCATGATTTTTAGTTTGATTTTAATTGTCAATATGACATGGTTAAATATTGTTTTGCCTGATGTGATCTCAAAGTGGAAAAGATTACTAGCCAATGGCTATACCATAATTGTTATCTCTTTATCGACAGAAATTACTACGGATTGACAATTGTCAACGAAGAATATATGTAAAGAGACACAAACTCGAATATCTAAGATATTTTAACTATATGTCTTAATGAATGACAACTCGTTGTCCTTAGAATCCCTTTATAATACATCTATCATACGGAAAAAAGCTTTTGCTCTAAAACTACAAAAGAAGGCACCTTCTATAGGCTATGACATAAAAGAAAAGAAAATAGAAATTTGTAGGTTCTCTTCTCAAGCATTTAAGGCCCTTTCAGTCTTATGGCATTGTTTACATGAACCACTTAAAATTTAAATATAGTTTAATAAATTTATCTAATATTTAATTGAAAGGATGGAATTTGATTCTAATTTTTAATGAACATGAATTCCATTGGATATTTAAATCAAATTTGGTCAAACAATTAATTTCAATGCTATCCTTTTCCATTTAAACGTCTAAATTATTATTGTATTCTTGAGGGTTAAAAATCTTTGAACACTGTATAGTTGCAGTATCTTTCATCTTTCAGTCTTTGGTGTCCATAACCAATATTTATTATGCTGACAAAGTGACCCTTAAACTCTCTCTCTCTCTCTATATATATACATACTACTAAACGGGTAGCTAAAGCATTCAAAATTCAGCGGCCATTCCTCTATCTTGCTTAATCACATTGTTCTTGATTGCAAGTTCCTATGTTCTTTAGTTAACAAGGTCCCTTTTCTGTTTTTTTTTTTTTGTTTCGTAATACAACTACTACAAGTGTTTGAAATTAGAATTTTATTTCTATGAAATTATGTTTTCAAATACTTGGGTGTTGGGTCAATTCAATTGTTTCCTGTTAAGGTTCTTTCATGTCAGCAGGATTGGCTAAACTCAATGGACTGGCAAGTGAAACCAACATGCAGGTAATTTTTACAAGTAATTTTAAAATTTGTAATCATTCCCTTTCATTTTGTGCTTAATTATAAGTACTTTATAATACATTAGTGCAAATTTCATTTGTAAAATTTATACAATGACTCTAAGAATATCAAGTAGTTCAATTTGTTGAACCATGCTTAAGGAACTTAATTTGCATACTTAATCAGCTAGCCTAATAATTGTTGGATTGATGATATTCCCAATATTAATAGGATCCACTACTGATAGATTAGATTAACTAAAAGGTTCAAGTAGCATTATGGAATAGACTTAGAGACCTGACTTCTTGGAATAATTTGCTCACCAAGCCCGAATTCTGGATAAGCTCTTTTTTATAGCATTCATGAATTTTTTTTTGTTTGTTGACTCAAGTGGGAAGAGCAAAATAAATTGTTGTGTACTTTGAAATAATGTTCTTATTAAGGCTTTTGTTAGTTGTGGCTAAACGGAAAATTAGTCGAGACTATAAAAAAAGAATTATACAATAACATCAAACATAGCATTCTGGAGAGGATAAAGAAGCAATTATTTGTGGAGTCATCTAAATGTGGAAAATGTGTACTAATTGTTGGATACTTGTCCATTCTTTTTTTTTTGTTCGGAAAATATCATTATATAAATAGATTCTAGACGGCCATCAATATGTTCCTATGATGACTTTGTTCTAATTTTCAAGTATTCTGTGTGTTTTAACCTTTAGATGGTTCATCCTACATTGATCGTAGTGTTTTAATTCCTATTGCATGCTTTCTTGACTAAACTAACACTTTTGTATCGTCCTGATTCCACTATTTATCTAATATATGTGATTCTTCAAGAATAGCTTGATATGCATTTATGATCAGTTGGATGTCTTCTCTCTCTCATACACACTTGTAGGATATTTATGATAGAACTAACTTTAAATGATATGTTGAAACCACAGAAGAAACATATGTTTACTGTCGGCTAATAGCATGTATGGAAAGAGGATCATGTTCCTTGTATAATAGATGCCTAATTGTTTTCTGTTGGCCTCGGAGAATTTTTCCTAATGCTTTTGGCCATTCTGCAATTGAATAACTGACATGGTTTGTATTTTTAAATAGAGCTTATGAACTGAGTTCTGCTTCAAATTTATGGTTGACTTTGGAGGTAATTGATGATTGTTGTTGAGTTCTGCCAAACATTCTTCAGTGTGGAAGGATTTGGAAAGTCATTATATTTATTGTATCATGTATAGTTACGTGTTTCAACCTTTAAATTATGGGTGAAACCAGAATCTTGAACATTTAATCAACTTTTGAATGAGGAGATGCATTCCCTTAGTTTCCTATACCCTTGTCAGGTTCGTGGAGTATAATCCACCTACTGGAAATGCTCTGGAGGGTGCAAAGAGAGATCCATTTAGGGGTGTCCATGGGTCGGGCTGGTTTAGGCCTGCGAAAATTTTTTTTGGGTTGGGTTGGATAATGTAAGCACAAACCCTTACCCAAGTAAATTATCGAGCAGGCTGGACCGGGTTTCGGATAAGGATAGCCTACCCACATCTTAACCTACAAGCCCATTGGACTGGCTTTCTAGACGGACTTGTTCGCGGGTTTTTTTATATATAACTTTATTTAAAAATAATAAATATTTTTGTAATTTAATATTTATGTAAATTGTATTTTAGAATTAAAAGTAGAGTCAAAATGAATAAAAATAAAATAATTAATAATTTTATTTTTAATTAGGGGATGAACTACATCTCAACTAGATTGACACATATTCACTTATTTTATTAATGGGACATTTCCAAGTACTCCAAGATGAAGCCACGTGTCCTCGGCATCAGTAAATTTTTTTTCTATAAACGCAACACGTACCCGTCAGATCACAAGTCCCTGTTCCCCTGAGGTACTGTTCATAGGGATCAATGACATCTAGTACATTTTACATACTGACACGTATCCCTCGGGGTCGGATAGAGTACATTGGTCCTACATGTACCAACCTCCCTCGGTACCGAGATGTACCCCCCGTCCAGGATGACATTCTCTGCTCCTGCAGAGGCTATTGATGTACAGGTCACTAGCCTAGGCTAGACTAAGTTAGCCATCATGACCTCGTCTTACACAATTGGTGTTAGAAGGCACAAGAAGGCAGGGAACACAACTAATGGGGAATGGACACGTGACATATTGTGTCACGTCAGAGACAAAAAGACTGGATGTCCTTGCTGACACGCGACTTGGTAAAGCAAGCATTTAATTACACTATTCCCTTCGTGAGACAGCATTTAATACGGTAAGACTCAGAAGTGAAAGATAATAAATGTCCCTAAGGCTGGACATTTATTACATCCTTGCTGAGAAGAGCTCATTAAACAGTCGGCAGACCGATGACACAGTCTTGGTTGCTTGGGATCCCGAGCAGTTAAAAGAGAAGACATTCCTCATAGGAATCAGTGCGCACGTTGCCCATATCTAATGATCACCTATTGACCACATTGACAACAATCATGAGTATTTGAGGTATAAATACTCCTCACAAAAGACAAGAGGAAAAACAAGGTGAAACCTTGGCTAAAACTTATACTCAGTGTTTTCTTCTTCCTCTCTCTCAAAAACTGACTTGACCATCGGAGGGGATACACCGGAAAACACTCCGGCGCCCTTCTAACTTGTCTTTCTTTGTTCCAGGAACCTTCCTCAGCCTTACTAGATCGTTCCGTTGATCCACTAGGGTCTCCCATTATCGTTTCAGGTTACCACCGGACCTCACAGGCTGTTCCAAATAGTAGGGTTGACCACTCGATTGACTCACTCGAGTTCACCAAGGGAGAGATCTGTTCTCGTGTTTATATTGTGCAAGATTTAGCACGCACATTTATCATTTGCATTACTCTATTATTTAAAATCTATATACTTAATACGTGAAAAATAAAATAATACATTATTTATAGTATTTAAATTTTTAAAATTTCAAATTCCAACATTAGTAAATTTATTTTAAAATTTCAAATTTAATGTTTTAAAAATATCACTTTTTTTCGAAAAAAGAGAAGGCAAGATATGTGGGCGAGTTGGGCTTAATAGACGAGCTCTTGAGCTGGGCTTCAGGTTGGGTAATAAGTTTGAGGACAAATTCAAACCCTCTTTTTAAATATATTGGACACAGACTCGAACAGATTAACTATCAAACCTATCAAATTTCGGATCTATTTTTTTTAGACCGGGTAACAAAACCAGTGAATAACCCAACCCATAGACACCCTTAGATCCACTTGTAGTCACACACATGGACATTTATGTAGGGTGGGATAATTTCTCTAGGTGAGGTTTCCTAGCTATGTCTGTGTAGTGATTTATTATTGGTTTAAACAATATTGTCAACATAAAGAATACTTTTACTAAGGGTTATCTTTATAATTTCAAAGGAACAATAGTTATTCTTCTTCCATTTTGTTAATCTTTCTTTTTATTTTGCTTGTCGTATATTTTGGTCATAAAAAAAAAAAGACAGTTAACAATCTTTACCATTAATTAAAAAAAAAAAAATTAATATGATAATAGTCCACGTGCAACGCACGTGCGCACCAACTAATAGATAAAACGGAACCATGCATCCCTCCTTGAAGTATTGGAAACCAGCTCTAAGTGTCAATGGACAACCGGTCTTCAGGGGTTAGACATGAGCAGTGCCTTCGGTAAACTTGGGATCCTCGCATCTATACCTACCATCAGCTCCAATTCCAAAACCTCTTGGATCTGCAAATACATTCTCCAGAAGCTGGCTACGAGATGGAGCAGGGCTCTCATCTGCAAACTCAACAGCATTCTCAACCAACTCCTCTATCTTCTTCACTATGGCCTTTAATTCTGCTTCACTGGCCAGATTGTTTTCAATCATGTAATTCTTCAAACCTGTGATGGGATCTCGAGCAGCATAGTGAGCCTTCTCAGCTGCCAAAAATGTACATATATTTAGCTGAAACTATACAACCTCTGAAGATAACAATTAGGATAAATCCATCCATCTCCTTGGTGCTATAAAAACAGATTTATATACATTAATCCACAAGCATGCAACATCCCTCAATCAAAAATAAATAAATGCAGTATCTCAAAACACCAAACCTTATAACCTAGAATTAAAGATTAAAGAAATATCAAGAGTATTAAAGATGATATCTTGAACTTTTGAAGGCAATATAATGATCGTAAGGCACCCACATAATCACATCCCCAATTGACCAAAAAAAAAAAAAAACTCTCATGTAGTACAACAGTTCAAGAATCAGCCAGTCATGACACTGCTAGTAGCTGAACATTATCAAACACAAATTGTAAATCAAATTATTCAGATCTATTAGAACTTCAATTCTCTTTCTACTTGTTTTTTTAATGCGGAATGATAGATTCATCGCAACACACAGATTAATCATTCTTGAGTCCCTGACCACTACCATATCATTGACATCTAATACAGTTTTCAATTCATTCTCACAGGAGATAACAAAGACTGTGTTGTAAATTTGGATGGGAACATTCTTGTCCTGATCAATGCTACACTAGTATGCCAATTAAGAGTCATCCTCCAGACAGAAGGAAACAACGTAAACCAAATCCATTTCACTGAATTTCAAAAGTAGCTATTAGAAATAATGGTTGAATTGATAAAAAAAAACAGAAGCAAGAGTGAATTTTCTGACGAAAGGGTAGATTTGAGCCTGGATTGTGAGTGTCAGCCTTCAATCCCGTTAACAAGTTACACCATATTAGGCGAAAATGGAAGACCTTAACAATGAATCCAAATTTAAGCACTGACTCCATTGAACCGAACTACAACTGTAAGTATTGTATAATCCTGTTTGTTTTCAGCGACCCCTGTATGGTTTTAAAATGCATTCAGACTAAAACAGCTTCCTTGGGACCCATCCTAGCCATGTAATAAGGAATTACTTCGGATTGTACCCACTACACTTCCACACTGTCCCAAATCACCATCCCACCAGACCAGGGAGCACTAAGAGATGCATAGACTATGTGGCTTCCACATCATGAGGTTAATGACTCAGATACCATTTGTAACACTCCGGACCCCTATTATACCATATTTTTCGCTTTGAGCTAAAGCCACACCAATTTAAAACACGTTTTCTAATGATTCAAATCTCAATGTACTCCGCACACTTCATGTGGAATTGAGAAATGGGATTGAGTGAACACAATTAAACAGAAGGAAAATCCTATATAGAGCCATGCAAAAGAACATAAGTAAATTCAAATAAGCATACCAGGGTCACGCAGCTCATCGGGATCAGCCAAAGAGTGTCCTCTAAACCTGTAAGTCTCACATTCAACCAAAGTTGGGCCATCTCCTCTCCTAGCCCTGGAAATAGCCTCCTTAGCCACCTCCCTTACCTTCAAGACATCCATCCCATCAACATGAACCCCAGGCATCCCAAACGCCGGACCCTTCTTATAAATCTCCGGATCAGACGTGGCCCTCAAATGGGACATCCCAATAGCCCACAAATTGTTCTCCACAACAAACACAATTGGCAATTTCCACAATGCAGCCATGTTCAAGCACTCAAAGAACTGCCCATTGTTGCAAGTGCCATCTCCAAAAAAAGCCAAAGTCACATGGTCACAATCAGCCTCTTTCAAGACCTCCCTCCTGTACTTACTAGTGAAGGCCGCCCCGGTAGCCACCGGGATTCCTTCCCCAATAAATGCAAAACCCCCAAGAAGGTTGTGCTCTTTGGAGAACATATGCATAGACCCACCTTGGCCTCGGCAACAGCCAGTGGTCTTGCCGAAGAGCTCGCTCATCACGGCACGAGCAGGCACCCCTTTGCTCAAAGCGTGAACGTGATCGCGGTACGTGCTGACCACGCAATCTTCCTTCTTCAAGAGCTTGATGAACCCAGTGGAGACGGCTTCTTGGCCATTGTATAAATGGACGAATCCAAACATTTTGCCCCTGTAATACATCTGGGCACACATGTCTTCGAAGCCTCTGCCCAAAACCATGTCCTCATAGAGTTCCAAGCCTTCTTCTTTAGTAATGAGCTGCACAGATAGGCGCAATTACATATTTACATGCACATAAATAAATATACCCACAAATTACTCTCTAGCTCTAAATTGTTCGGATTCGTTTCGAGAATTGTAGAAACATTTTCATACCAGATTAGAGAGGGAGGTGTTGGATTTGAGCTTCTTTTCCTTGACGACATCGGAGACGGCCACCACAGTGGCGGATCGACGTTTCGCGAAGCGAGCTGAATTGGGTTCGTGGAGACGGAGCTTGTGGGTTGTTCCGAGAAAAGAGGAAGGGGTGGTTTTGCGAGGATGAAAGAGAGCATTCTCGGGAGATCTGGTAAGGGTGGTGTTGAGGGGTAAGGGTTGTATGATTTTGGTTGCAGAGAAAGCTGAAGCCATTGCTAGATTCCTAAGTGATGGTGATTGACAGATTGTTTTTTTTCCTTCCTGGGGTTGGGAAGAGAGGGGGGGGGGGGGGGGTTGTTAACCGTGTCTATGTAAGAGTAGGAGTGCAGAAATACAGAACTGGGAGAGGAGAGATTAATAAAGGGAAGAAGTGCGAAGAGAAGATGAAGAGAAGGGCGGAGAAAACGAGAGAGGGAGGAGGGTGGGAAATGTGGAAATAACCGCCGAGAGCGTTGGTGGCGGCTGCTGCTGCTTTGATTAAGGATGGATGAAAACAAAACAAAACGGAGGTGGAGGGTGGAGGCCACCAACCCAACAACTGGCCCACGCACAGGACAAGACAACTCACTCCTAGTCTTAAACCAACAATGTCTCCCATGTCCCATACCTTGTAATTTCAGCTAATTCATGACAGTCCATGTACTACTAGATTTTAAACATGTTCTATCCGTGTGCGCAAAATTTACTTGTCTTTCCTTTTCAGATTTCATCTTGAAATTATAGGTAGAAAAGAAACTTACCTATTCTTGGCAATCCACCGCACCCACAATTTGATTACATATTATGCACGGGATAGATTTTGCAATCTCGTAAGGTAGCGATCCCTTGACTGACAAACCTGAAAAAACAGGGTTAGAAAAAAGGGGGTCAGGCGTGAGCCCAGTCAATCTCCTCCGAAGCTTAAGTCAGTAAGATCAAAGGGATGTTTCTTAGTCAATGAGCTATGATTTGATTTTGCTTCCCTTTGTCCATTTTTCTGAGAGATATTTATACCTGAATTAACAATGATTGTTCTAAACCTTCAGTCTCATCTGGACATCTCATATATGACACACCTTCCCTCGTGCTGTGAATGCTTCCCCTTAACGTCTCCTCGAATTGAATGCTCAGGGAATGGTATAAGTGCTCGGCCGCAAGCCGAACATTTATACTACGAGCCGAGCAGCCCAATCCAAAAGGTCGGCGTCTGACACCGACAAGGCACGGACTACTCGATGGATCAGAAAACTTGGGAGAACCAATCACGTTGTTTCGGCGCATTAGTCATTAATACTCCAGTTATCATGACAGTAGGCATAGACTTGCAGAGAGCAATTGGTGGCAGCCCCGCATTTATTTGTCTTGTTACTATCACTCATCTCGCCATCAATGCGAGATCACATCGCTTTGACTATGATGCAAGTTGTTGTACTCGGCCGCTCTGTGTCACCATGTCTCGGCTCACCCCCTCGGCATCTTTCAGACATCCTAATGATTTTATTGGGTCACGTGTCACCCTGGGAGTTGAGGATCCACACAAGAGTCCCGCCATATTATATATTATGTAGATATATGTGTCCAGTACATACATACGTCTAAATAAAGTCACAATTACTCATTTTTTAATTTGTTTTTTTTTTGGGACCGATAGATAATCAATAGGTTTGATAGGCAACAACAAACCTCCGAGCAAAAACCACAACCAAACAAATACAATTTAGTTGAGTCAAGCATAGATATCAACTAAAAACTCTATAAATGCACAAAGAGACGGTCACAAAATACCTTCATAGTGAAATGAATACTGCACCGACGAGTTTTTGTAATGAGTTGAGATAGCGATATGTTGAATGATGAATCTAAACACAATCAAATGATTAAGAAAGGGATCGGGTGTATAATAGACTAATCCCCTCCAAAACTCAAGTCAATTGGCATTGAGGTCATGAGCGTAATATATTCTCTATTTTCAGATTGCGCACATTGGACTAGCTTTCTTCAGGGGTATTTATACTTGGGTTTACAATGATGATAGTGTCTTTGAGTCCCATCTTAGAATTTAATGACTTGCACTCATATTCTAACATAATGAGTGTTATTCCATAAAATCTTTTCAAGATTAGTCTCCTCGGGCAAGTGGACCTTTGCTCGAGAACCGCCAAGTATTCATGATTAATCCACTAGTCATTAAATACCTCGTCTCAATGCCTGATATCTACGTCCGAACATTCATTAGTCGGGAGCAAACACTCTTAAGATTGACCGAGAACTTCATGTCGGCGTAACAATCATTAAGGCGTTGTTGTAATGACTGTCTTCACATTTTTCAAGAATCTGAACACTCATTAATAGCTCTATTATAGTCACTCAAGACCCCATTAATGAGTTGTCAGATCCCTTTTAATGTTAGATTCTGAGGAGCGTACTCGACCCTTCCTAACATAACTCTTCGGCGCCTTTTTCAGGCACCTTTCGCACGCCTTAACAGTTGAAACCGCCCACGTGTCCATTCATTACTATCAAGCCGCCTAAAATCCCATCAAATCCATAGAGAACTCATGGCTCTTGAAGATGTTGCAACAGAAATAGCTTCTCTATGAAAGCACCATGATAGTCATCTTCGTTTTTGGAGTTCGTCTGTCTCCAGAATTTCCAAATCTAGTTTAGTTTTGTACCACTCATACAACCATTACTTTGTCCACCCTACATGCTGCCTCGCTCCCTACTACTTACTTTCACTTGGTTTCCTCACCCAAGCAATGAAATATCGTCTGGCTTTTAGATCCCTTTTTCTAATGATCCAGATAGCCCACCCACCAACCCAGTGCACGACCGACTACTTCAGAAATGGAGTTGGCCCTGTTCATTTATTGGGTACTATTGAAACAGTAAGTATGAAAAAAGAGGTTAGGAGCTATTAACATATAGGGATTCTTTATGAAGAAACTTAATTTCCAATATTACTAATATATGTTATTACTAAAAGCCATGTACAGAGCAGAGAATAAACATCAAAATAAATAGGTTACAATGGGTAATAATCTATGCATCGCAAATGTATTTAGGGTCATTCATCAACCCGTGTGGACTGCCTTGGGAAAAATCATTCTCCCAAGTCAGGATATGGCCTTAGATATGCCTTGTAAATTGTGGTGGACCAGTTTCAAAATCGACCACCCCACGTGACCCCAAGAAGCTATCATCGATGACTGCAATAGGATGATCAAAAGAACAAGGAATGTGGAATCACATATATATATATATATACAGACGTAAGTTAATGTGCAGATTGTCCGCCAAACTACTCTGAACACCTCTCGTGACTTCAATGAGATCTCCCTCACCCCATGGAAACAAACCCAAGCTCATCTGTTCCTCTCATCCGCAATCACAGTTCGTGTTGCTAAGCTTTGTTTGCATCGAACATCTTTCGGGCCTGTGGTCCCCAGTCATGTCAAAAAAAAAAATTGGCAAAATACTCCGTATCATGAGTCAAATGCATGATAATTATGTTACTGCTTCGTTGTTTTCTCCTTGCCTGCAAAAGCATTTCAGGTGCTTTAGAAATAAAAATAACAGAAGTTAGCATCTGAAACTTGGAATGATACCACAACTTACCAAATATATTTGGTTTCAGCGGGAATCGAATTGATGATCCTTTTACTTTCACCTCCCTAAGCGACCTGCTTCGACTTGATTTTTCGATTTTGGAGATACCACTGCTACTTTCTCCTTTTAAAAGATCAATTCCCTTCTTCACCTTTTCATGGTAGACAGCCGGCGGTGCAAGCCTCAGCTGAGGCACGTTTTCTATTTGGATCAATTTCTGGCCTTTCTGAAGATTGGTCAAAAGTTCAAACTGTAGCATCCAGGTTCCAATACGAAAGGTTATCATTAGGACAATCCCCCAGAAAACAAAAGGTAAGACAGACTACTAAAATATAATCCATTATTGACTCACCCTTGAGATTGGATGAATGCCATAGGAATTCTCAAATGTATCACTTTCATATGGGTGTAAAGAAATAGCCTTGTGTGCTTGGTGGGGTCCTGATGAAGACTTACTCAACAATCCGTTTTCTGCAAGTGCAGACTTGCTTCTAGACCTTTGACCCTTCTTCTTAGGAATACAAATGGGGCATCCTGCAGATGAGCCTTTATGTGATGCCTCACTTTCCTGAAGTTCACACTGAAGATGGGTTGCATGACCACAACTGAAAACTTGAATGCTAGAACCAGAGGAATTCTTTGTGAGGAGACAGTTACATATACTACATAAAAGGCTACGGGGAGCATAACCATGAGAGGCCCCCTTCTTGAGTAAGCTCATGGTATAAAATGTATCATCCTCGATCAAGCACTTGGCAGTGTCCTGAATTAATAAAGGGAATAGTTAGAAAAAAATTATTGAATTTGATCAATATACAACAATGCATTTCAACCTAATCAATTTCTAAATATGTAACCATATGAGAAATCAAAAGACAAAATATTGTTATTGGAGTAGAATCAATAAACACGTAACAAAAGGTAAATCAAAATTAACCAGCAAGCCACTGAAAACAAGGAACTGACACCCAAAAAGTTGTACACAGCATATACATATGCAATTCTACATAACACTACTCAATACTCAATTAACGTGGTCAATTTTCCCCTTTTCAGTTTGTGTGTGTGTAAACCCCAAATGCTATTTTTCCACCAACAGGTCATTTTAATGATGTGTCTAAAGAAATTACATGAAATTTATGTCTTATGTTGCCTTATTCTCTTCTGGAGAACAGTTTGACATGCTCAAAGCATTCCATTATGGAATTTATAAGTTTTCTTATATTAATCCAAAATGCATGATGATAAAAAGTTTCAGTGGTCTGTAGCATTACTTTTCCAGTTCCTCAGAATGCAATGAACCTTAAACAGCAGAAAAGCAGAAAAACAGCTAAAGTTGAAAAAGGAGGCATACCAAAATTCTTCTTTCAAAATCATATGTTCCAAGCATTCCCAATACAGTAGGTTTGAAATCACCAAACTCCTGGCTACCATTATCAGAGAGGAGTTTGAACATGATAGTTGGGAGGCGAACATAGCCAATCATTCCCTCAACAATCTCCTTAATAAACATGGAAAACAATTTCCTCAAAATATGAGCACCTTTGTGGGATTTTGGGACCTTCCACTTAATTTTGCATGCCACTTCATCTTCTTGCCTACCCAATGATACAGCTAAACCTTCCATGGGCCTTTTTCCTTCAGAAACCAGTTTACCTTCATAGGAATCGATCAAAGGCTCACAAAACCTGCATTGGTACAAAAACATCAGTTAGCACCGAACTAAGAAGAAGGGTAACAGGGTAACCATGAATGCGCAGGCATACACGTGCAAATCATTGTCATTGCATGCATATGCATCTATGCCACAACTGTCCTTGCCTCAGGTCATAGTTTTTATTTGCAACTATTAAGGGAGGGAAAAAT